GGGGGGGGAAGGAATGTTCAACAGTGAATGACTGAAAAAAAAAATTTTTTAAAAAGGATAGGTATCATAACTTTGCACTTACCAATGTCTAAAATTTTCTTTTGGAGAGCTCCAATGAAAAGAAATGGTTCATCCTTACAAGAACGAATAAGTGTGCCGACCAAGTTAGAGCTTGTTGCTAAGATGCAGGCATTCTCTTCATTGAGGCTGACCCCTGCCATGGAAGTCACATCATTGATGTCATCTTCATCTCTGATAGAAAAGAGATTATAGCTCTTTAGGTGTGGGGATATGTCTCTGTCTTACAGAAATTTCCTTATGACAAATGACTTTATTTTACTCAATTCATCCAAGAAACAGAACTAAAGATTAGCTATCTTTCTCCCTTAATGTGATTGTTGCTAGGCTCCATGGAGTCAGAACGGACTCATAGCTGAGCTTCCAGCAAGTTTTGGAGGCGACAAAACCACTGGAGGAGACTGTCCACTTAGCTTCCAGAGTAGTTGGTGTATTCAAACTGCCTGCTTTCAGGTTGGCAGAGCAACTCCTTACCACTAAGCCACCAGAGCTCCCTTAGGCTACAGACTTTCTTTTATAGTTGTTGTTGAGAGTTGCCACTTTGTCAATTCTGATTCATGGCAACCATATGTGCTGAGTAGAGTTTTCAAGGCCATGACCTCTCAGAAGCAATCATTAGGCCTGTCTCCCAATGTCAGGTGGAGCCAAACTACAGCTATTTTGGCTACAAGTTGAATGATTAACCATCTGTAAGCCCAGGGACTCCTCCTCTAATTGCTAGTGCACATTTACTGTTGGAAGGATGATCCAGAAGCAATATTGTTTCCTGTGTTCATCTTTTTGACAGGACATCTCGGTTTGTCAGGTATATGAACATCACATCAAATCATTCCCACATTCCCTTTCAAAAAAAAAGGCAAAAAAAACCAAAGCAGAGATCTACCTTTCATCTACAATGATAAAGAGTCCTTCAGATTTCTACAATGTACTCCACCATTCCACTGTTAAGCAGCCAAAATCAAATCCTGAGAGGGTTGATGCTGTGTGCCATCAAGTCAGAACTGACTGCTGAGTCTCTAATGGGTTTTCGGAGGCAGTAAATTGCACAGGGAGAAGATTACCCATCCTTCTCCCACAGAGCAGCTGGTGGATTTGCACCATGTGCCTTTGGGATTACAACACAGGTTCTCACCACTAGGCCACCAGTGCTTTCTTGAAAGAACCATACTCACAGAGAAGTCCCTGAAAGGTAACTTTGTTCACTAGCTATTCTTAAACCACAAGGTTAAAACTAGTTTTTAGGGATTTTTTTTATTTGTTTAAGATGTTTGTGTGTTCCATCTATATAATTAAATTTGTTAAATCAAATCCTCCAATAAATGGTTGAAAAGGTTTTTCCACACACAGTCAAACATATACATACACTTAAGGCACACATGAAACACGTAATATGTTTGGGATCCTCCTTTTACAATGAGTACAAATATTGTATGCAATACAAAAGCTGTTTTCATACAACAGAACTGCTATGTGGCTACAGCCTTGAGATCTGTACATGTATTCTTTGTGATAAAGGAGTAAGTCAGGGAAGATACACTAAAATAGTGTTCTATACATTAGGAGTTGTGGTGTCCTAGCAGACAGGGAGTTGAGTTGCTAACCAAAGGGCAGACTGTACAAATCCAGCACCTGCTCCAAGGAAAAAATAGTGGGCATTCATAGCCTTCAAGAAGCTGCTGGAGGGTCAGCTTTGAGCTAGCTGATTCTGATTCAATGACAAGTATTATGAGTTTTTTACAAACATACAGTTAACATAGAGTTCACACTTCATTTTTACGATCAAACACAAAGCAAGCACATTACTGATCATACTATTGTCTGGTGTTCATGAAAAGATTTCTCGTGTTCACCTTTACAAAGCAACACATCAGGAGTGAAGAGGAAGAGCCTGAACTCAAATACACATGACATGCACGGAAAATGAAGGGTAGGAACGTGCAACACAGAGCACGGGAGAAAAAGAACAATGATTTGACAATCTAGACAGTACAATAAAATCTCAACACAAGGCATGCTGCCCTGTGGTGAGGAAAACAAAACAAAACAAAACAACCTACCAAAAACCAAGGTATATAAAAAGAAAATTCTAAGAAAATGGCCAGACTCTACCTGACCCAAACGTCACAGAGGTCTTTAGTGGAGGTATGGAATGTTAAGGGAGCTCTGCCAGCCTGGTGGGCAAGGAGCATTGCTGTCAACCCCAAGGCAAGTGGTTTGAATTCACCAACTGCTTTGAGGGCAAAAGACAGGCACTCTCCTCCTGTGCAATTTACTGCCTCTGAAAATCCACTGCAGGGTCAGTTACGAGTCAGTTCCAATTAGACGGCACATAAAAACAATAACGGAATGCTAAGAGTATTTCTAAGAATCAATCTGCCACCTACAGAAATAATTATGTCCATATTTAACCATCTAGAATCATAAAACACTACAGACCTAGAGACAGATAAATCTGAGGTAAATGATATTTTAAGAAGCTTGACGGAAAGTCAATTTTTAAATGTCAGTATATGTCAATTAAAAAAAAATCTGTTCACTACAAAACAAAGTCCTAAGCAGATACCCGACTTCTACGGGACCACTTGTCGCCTCTTAAAAGAGCCCTAACAAATCAGCTGTTTTCTCTTAGACACTTAAAGAGCTAAGTTAGTTCTCTGTGGATTGATATACAACAACCATCAAGATATACTGTGGGGTAAAAAAACAAGACCACCAAGGTACATAATAGACTGCATCCTTAGTATTTATGTTTATACATTTTTAACATACATCAGAATAAACTCTCCTATGGGATTCAGAGACAGTAAATTACAAGGAAGGAGACTGTCCATCTTTCTCCCACAGAGCAGCAGGTGGATTCGAACCATATGCTATTAGGTTAGCAGTACAACTCCTAACCATTAAGCTATGCAACAGATGACCTTTACACAAACACACACACCCCTCTGCAACGTATATAATCTCAGATATATTCTAGGTGTACAGACCACTGTAAACCTTGCCCCCATCAGAAGATGGAGGGGGGGATCCTGACCAGCTTTTGTTGATACCTTAGGCACAGGCTGGAAAAGATCAGTCTACTTACTACCATTACTTAGCACAATTCTTGAATTGAATAGAATTCAGCCAATCAAGAGACAGTTCCATAGTATAGAATGTCCTTCAGCCCATTATCCACAAATAAATAGAAAACTATCTAATAAAATTTGTTCCTGACTCTTATGTCCAGAAGAGAAGGAACTTTTAATCTCTCAGTAAATAAAAGCCTTCAACTCTGGGGTCAAGTAGAGTCTGTGCAAAATCAATGAAGTATATCATGCATTCATCTGTAGTACCTTCCTTCTAAAACCAATCTGGTGAAATACTAAAGGGAATGCCTGCTCATGGCTGCACGCTCAATCTCGCCTACCTTGCTAAATAAAATAAATGACAACATCAGATTAACTTTTCTCAAGGAAAAGGATGATACCACTTTCATTTCTGTTCAAAATCTTTCACATTCCCAATAACTCATCCTGCAATGGATCCAGGCCTTCTAAATTATATCCCAATTTAGTACTCTTCCTTCTCAAATAGTAATTGCACACAGCAATTCAGGCCTTTGGAAAGCCCATCCCTTCCAGTTGCAGTCTTTAAATTCCTTTGATTTCTTATCTTCCAGCTGTTAAAACCATAGATAGATAGATAGATAGACAGATAAACAGACAGATAGAGGCTAATACTAAATGCTTCTGATAGAAATGCTGGTTTCCTAACATTAAAAATGCTTCTTATTGCCACAACTTTTGAACTTCCAAGCACTAAGCACATGCTTTGGTCACTGTTACGCTAGGGTTTACACTTCCTTCTGTTGTACTTACCAGTTTACTTGTGATAAGTTCCAACTAGAATAATTTTATTCATCATCTTAATCTATCTAAAGGGAGTTCTGGTGGCCTAGTGGAAAGAAGCTGTGCTGCAATCCTGACGGCAGACACACAGTTCGAGGCCATCAGCTGCTCCACAGGAGAAGGGTAGACAATCTCCTACAGTGTGATTGAAAATCCACCTCCTCCTGCGCCTCTGAAAACCCACCAGAGAGTTGCCTATGGGTCAGTTCTGACTAGATAGTACACAACAACAACAATAATTTATTTAGATAACTGACAAATCATTATGTCCTCTAACTATGCATGCTACATACCTGCTACAAGATGGTGGAAAACAGCGCAACAGTCTAAACTATGCACCTTTCAGAAGCTGTCTTGACTGAGGGATTGTTTCCAGCTGCCCACCTGAATTATAGCCCTTTGACCTCTCTAATATGCCCCATAATCATGGGAGGGGGGGATTTAAACCATATAAAAATTAAAATTAAAAAAACTCAAGCCCAAAACTTGCCCACCTTAAAACCCATTACCTATATGAAATAAAACTAATTACTTAATATTCTGAATCTGCCTTTGCATAATATTATGAGGATAAGAGTCTCTATAATTTAGATGGAAGATGAAGGAAGTCATTCATAACATGGAAAGTGGGCCAGTTCCTTAATAAGAGCTCTATAAATAACTTTTTTAAAAAGACCAGAGTCAAAGGAAAAACAGATACACATATGACTCTTACAACTCAGGTTCAAGATGTTTTGCCCACTCTTAATAGACATAGGGCCTAACAGTCACTTCTGAGACTGATAAAGGTTATTTCTAAAGTTTAGGGGAAAGTTTCTATTTGAATATTAGTCAATTTGACAGCACTAAACAACAACCAACAAAATGAGAAGATTTATAATCTTAAATTTTGCTGCAATTTTTGAATACAACTTGTTAACACAATTTTACAAAAGGCCATTTGGTAATCTAAGAATTTTACTTAAAAACAGCTTGAGGAGTACTTTCAATATGGACTGCCAGAAATCCAGGCTGGAGTCTGAAGAGGTTATGAACATCACTGGTGATGTCAGATATATCTTGGCTTAATGTTCAGAATATCAGAAACACCTGTTCCTATTCCAGGAAAAGTAATCCAACAGAATACATAAATATTGAACCTTATAATTCATATCACATGTGAATGAAATAGTAAAGATTGTTTTAAAAGTACTGGAGTGTACACTGACAAGAAACTATCAGAAATATAAACTAGATTGTGAAAACCCATGAAACAGTGAACACCAGTGATAACTTATGGATCTT